CCAGAAGTGATGTGTTGTATAGTTTCTGGCATGATGTGACATTTTCTGCATGTGTCATTTGTGAGTGTTGTATCTTTGAGTATGTGTTTTCTGTAGTTTTTAGTATTTATGACCTGATCCTGTATGGCAATCATGAATCCTTCCGTCTCCCCAAAGAGGCATCCCCGATCTAACCAGCTGTTTGACGCAGTTTTGTCAACTTATTATTATTATTATTATATATTCTGAAATTCATTTCAAATATTTAAAATAATATAAAACATTGTCTTTATAATATAAAATATTTTCAGACTAACTTGTAAGTAAAACATAATTATTGTTAAAACAAGCAGTTCTAATATTTGATCAAAATCAACTGATAAACAAAGCAAGCAACCATATACTGCAGAATTATGGCTTTGTCATTTCTATAATAATTTCTATTATGCAATATTAAAAATTAAATCACAATTTCCTTGTAGAAATGCAGTTTACAGAGTTATATGCAGGTTATACAGTATATGAAATAATCCATAATGAATATATTTGATTAAGTTTAAAAGAAGTTATGATAAAATTACAACTCCATTAAAACAAAGGTCTTCTTATAGAAAGATGAAACAAGCACAGGTAAAATCATTAGTGTTTTGGAAATAAATATCTAACATTTTTCTAAATATAGCAGAGAATGATAATCATTCAGTATACTTCACTGAAATAATAAAAAGATATAAATCAATATCATTTTTATGTATATAAAAAATTATACTGACATAACATGAACATAATACAGTAAAATGTCTGTAACTCGACTACTTCTTTAACTCGAAGAAAATGAAGCACTTGTTAGGTCTCAATGGAATAACATAGAGATTTAATGTCTCCAACTTCAATTTCTTTAACTCAAAGTTTCTCCAAGCCAAAGTTTTTTACAGTCTCCCGACACTGATTTATGTTACTTTCAACTTCCCCAATTCAAATGTTAATATTTATTCTATTCCAAGTGATCCTAATTATCAGATTTCCAAGAAATTTTCAGACAGTTAGTTGTATCTACTGTCCAACACCCATTTGCAGACAACATTCCAGTCCAAAGTGAAAGGTTCTCTCGCTTTATCTCAACAAGATGTAACTACAAAATTGCTTTTTGTAACATTTTGCTGAAAGGCATTAATGGGTTGTTTAAAACAAAAAACTATCAAAGATTCTTTACATAATGAAAGAGAGGCAAAAATACAAATCTATTTAGAATCGGCATTTTTTACTCTATTATTCTCTAACTTGAACTGTCTGTAACTCAAAGTTTTTTCCTGCTCCTTGAAGCTTCTAGTTAGAGGAGTTTTACTATATATGCAATGAACAAAAAAAACGAGATAATTTTTTTTTCTTTGCTTTGTCAAGAGTAACCTATCCTTTTAAATAAAACTGAATACATAATGAAGGATAGAGAAGTCAATTTGGAACATGATTTTGTCAGAAGCAAATTATTTAACGAGCAATTATTTATTGTGACATCATCACAATTTCTGGCTGCAATTTTTAATCACATTTTTTAATCTATTTAATTTAAAATATTTGCTTGCCACCTCTAATTAGTAGTGTCTTGCCCCTGTATATAATACTTTTTCTGTTAGTCCTATACATCATCATCATCAACATATACTTTTCCTGTTAGCAATACAGTCACGCCAGTCATCTAAGTCCTTTTAAGAGAAAATTTTTGAACTGAATAAATGTGACTTCTGATTTGCATTGGAAGTTTGTACATAGTTAATTGGGGTCCCCTGCCCCTAATCTTTACACATCTGGTCTCAACTTTCATCTATCTAACTCTATTCTCAAGATTAAGGAAGGACAGACAGGTATGCAGACAGATGACAGTGGGAATTTATAGGTCTACAATTTTTTCAATTTGCAACCCAATAAAGCTATACTCTTAACTAATTTTTTTACTCTCAGTCGTACATTGAATCAGTGGACAATAAGAATATAAACACTGTTCAGTTACAAAAATTTTGAATGATCACATATTACAAAATTTACAACTTAATAACCAGCTTTAATTTAATATAAATTAACATATAACATAAATTAAAATATAAACAAAAATAATTTGTGTTTTAATATAAATTTCAACATTTACAAATTAATTTAATTCTATCATCAGAAGTATAATTTAAATTTTACAAATTTAATTTAACAATTAAATTAGTATTTTTAAATATATAGTTATGATGACTAAATTAAAATATTCCTAAAATGTTAAATCTTTAAAAACATATTCATTTATTGAATTAAAGTCATTTATTAAGCTGTCAGTTAGCAAGAAAACAAATCATACTTGGAGGATTTAATATAATTTTGTATCTCCAAAACATTAAAAATACACTATTAAACAAAGTTTTCTAAGTACTTCTCTTATTACATATTTAACTTTATAATTTACATTTTAATCTATGATTTAACATCTGAAATCATAATGTGAAATTCTAATAATGATAAAAAAAAAAAAATTTTCTTTCTTTAATTTTTAAAATATCATTTTCTCTCAATTTAACTCATTAAAAATATATCTTTCATATTCGTAATGAATGATAATTGACTTCAGTCAGAAACTACATTCAAAAATAATACAAATATAACTCAAATTATCAAGAATGACATACAAAATTCTGCAGATAAATTACATTTTTAAGTTCTCATTAATCACTTTCTGACATGCATAGAATGACAAAATTGATTTTTCAATAATCTTTATCTGATGAAAATAGTTTTTGTCTGACTAGAAAAAGTAAAGCTTAATAATATGAAAACAAAAAATATAAAATTGTATCGGGTTAAATTTAAGGAATACAATAAACTAAATGTCTTAAATTAACTACAAAGAATTATTCTTATATTCTTTCTTTAAGTAAAAATACAAGCTTATTAATACAATTTTCTCATAAAATGTTCTGCTACAAAAAAATATTGTATCTATTTATAAAACCAGTGTCTTATTTTTCAATTCATAAATGTTTTTGGAGATTTGTTCTTCAATATAAAATTATGACAATATGCATATGTTTAAACATTTAAATGAAAGATGAACAATCCCTAAAAAATTTATGAATTTAAAAAAAAAAAAACAATTAGGAATTCTGTTTTATAAAAGGTGGTAGAATTTTTATTTTTAAAAAAGAAATCAAATATTTGGATCAACTTATTCTTATGTTCAGACCATTAGTGAATGCAGCAGACTATGACTGTTTGTTTTACAATCCTCAACTTTTACAGTTGATATAAATTTTCTGATGATGATTGTATGAAATAATATTTTAGTATAACATCTATTTGTTTCCTATCTTAGTGTGATATTTTACAAAACAAACAAATAAACATAGAGTTTGTGAGATCTAGAACACGTGTTTGGAGATGCCACGAGCCAGACTTTGCAATGACATAAGCTAGTAATGTAATAAACATGGCTGGCTCAGAGCATTGCCAAACTTCTACTGCTGCTACTTGTTTTGATCATCCAGTATATTGTTCAAATTGTATTTCTAGGAATGTAATCTCCACTTACAATACAGTCTGTGGAAAATACAAAGGCTCGCATAATGAGGATTTTCAAAAAACTAAATGGTTGTAAAAATGAAAAGGTACTGTATTTATAAGTCATGATGACAATAAAAATACACATAACAAAATTATTAAAACTAAATAGAACTTTTTCTCTTACATTATACAATGCTTTCTTTTCATTTTCCATAAGTTTCCATATATTAATAAATTCATTTAATAATTCGACATCTTCATCAAGAAATTCGTCTTTCTGGAAAATAAAATTGATCATAAAAATTAGTTTAATTTATGATATACCTACATATATTTCCTGAACTTTGATATATAATTCTCACTTTTCCTGCGATGATAAAAGATGAAATAAAATAAAAACCCCCAAAGTATTTAACATTGACCAAAGATATTTTATATAACACTTTCAGCTCTTTAAGGCTACCTTCAGACATTTAAACAAGAGATCTAGTTTAAAATATGTTTAATACAATGTAAGATTATTTCTTATAGATGTAATTTGCACCTTTGATAATGAATGATGTACTTATTTACAAATTTTTTAAAATTTGTCTCAGAAATATTGATATTTTTAAATGTTAAATGAAAATTTAAATCACAGTCAACCACACAAGTATATAATTTAAGCTGATATAGATTCAAAATCAATTACAATGATGTAGTACAGTTTAGTTTCATTCTATTTTTTGTATTTTGGATCACATAATAAACTATTTGCTTGAAAATTCTGGTTATAGCTGTATTTATTCGTTTGTGAATTTTTTGTCTCTTTAATCCTTTTGGTAGACTATCTCACAGCCAAGGTTAATAAATTCTTTTATTAGTTATCACATATGCATTTCGAACCGGTATAACATTTCCGGTTCCTCTTCAGTGTTCTACAATTANTTTAATAATTAAAATAAATCCATGAAGTAAAAGTTTATTTTTGCATACATTAAATAAATAAATTATTTTATCACATCTTTCTTAGAAGAAACTTTTCATACATATAGAATATAATCATAAAAATTGTCTAAATATAACGTTTAAACACTAAAGTTTACATTATTATATAGTAGTTTCAAACTTGACAAATTTGAATTACTTGAAAACTTGACGAACTTGATTAGACAAATTTAAATCAAATTGCTTTTTCCCTTTTATAAAATGATTTCTTAACTTCTATTAAGTCCAAAAAAAAATTTCTATTTTAGTTTTATTAGAAAAATTATAATAGAATTATAGATTTTAAAATGTAACAAATTATTCTTGTTTAATATTTACTATTATATACAGATACAGTAACTTCTGTAATCTGGCACCAAGTAATCCAGAAATGTTCATTAATCTAGCATGTTTCAGGATCATTGAGTCTCTACTTAGAAATTGCAAATTATGCAAAGTATATGAGAGTTTATATTATGAAGGTAATTTTGAACATGGGAAGAGTGGGAAGGGGTGGGTTAAAATAAAAGAAATCAGAGAAATTGAATTTACAGTGGGTGATCAGTTAACGAACATGGTCTTGGAATGGATTATGTTCGTTAACTAATTATCTTCTGTCCACTCTACCTTGGCTATTACCTCTTGCTTGTTTTCTATGGTGAGCATTGTTCTTGACACTCCACTCTTTTTAGTTTCCATAATATTATGTTTCTTTTTTAAATAAAAAGTTCAGAAAAGCACTTACAAAAAATTCAGAAAACAGGCATCAACTAACACACAAAAAAGTTGTGTAAATTTGAGGTCTAGACAAAATTTGAAATTTGGTGTTGAAGTGTTACTGAATATCCGATAGGACAATTAAACTCTTACCTTTTGAAAATAAAAACCAATGAAAAACTTAATGAGTACCCAACAGTTTCGTAAAGACTATAAAAAATTCTTTCTGTCAGAAAGATAAACAAAAGGCTGGAATTACAAGGGAGAGTTTCAAAGTTCAGAGGAATAATACTATCTGAATGGTATCGGGTTGAGCATCATGTTGATGTCTCTCATGCTCCGAAAGGTTTTGAATTGTCATTTGGAGACAAGGGAAGACCAATCAGTATTCATTATTTTACATCTCTTCTTCTTGTGTTTGTTATCTGAACATGTGTTTGGTGTCTGAACATAAAAAAATCTTTCACAAAAGTGTTCATTGTTCAATTTGTTTGCAGTCTGAGACCCAGAAAACTATGGATAAAGGAAAATAGTAGATGTAGGGACCTATATAAAATGAAAAAAAAATCACATATGCCTGTAACTTTATTTATTATTAACAAACTTACATTAATGATATTTTTTTCACCGTCAAGTTCAGTCTGTACTGCTTCTTTTAAAAAATGTTAATCTTCATTTATTTAGTAGCAATGGGCTTTGCATGATCAGCACATTGGATGAGACAGTGTAGGGCACTCCAAGGCATCTTTGTGCACTAAATAGGTTAAATAGGATTTGTTCAGAATTCCTAGAAGTTGAAATGTTTCCAAGAAAACAACACACATCAGGGAATGATAGATTGAGGTTTTTCACAGTATATTATGTTCTTTCTGTAATCCTATTAAGCTTATTTTCAAATAAGATAAAAACAGTTTGATTAGACAAATATAAAAATCACAAAATCTAACATCATAAATCATTATGTTTAGCCCTAGTTTTTATCGTTCTCTACATCTTTACTTATCATTTAAATGATAAATACAATTATTAAGCTGAGAATTACATTAAAAATGTTGAGTCAATTTATCTTAGGATATTTATGAATAATAAATGTATCCATAATTTTTATGACAAGTTATAAAGAGTTTAATTATACATTGTTTCAGGCCAGCTTTTATGGATGAATATGAAAAATTAGAAAAAGAGCTGGAAGCTGTCTACAATCAATATCTTGTAAAATTTCGATGTTTAGCTTTTCTAGAACAACAGCTAGAGGAACTTGAAAAGGCCGAACAAGAACAAATGGAGGTAAAATAATATTTTAAATATAGTTGAAAGTATAACAATAAAAGCTTTTTTTACTTAAAATGATAAATAAAGCCAATATTGCCACGTAATAGAAAATTACTATGATATAAAATAAGAACTGAATGATGAACATATAGAATTTAGAAACTAATTTACTGTAATTTATGCCATGTATTTTTCTGAAAATTCAACATTTTTAACTTAAATTATTTAAATATTTTGATTATCTCAATACATTTGGTAATGTCATTACCTAAATATNTTTATAATTGTAGAACACTGAAGAGGAACCGGAAATGTTATACCGGTTCGAAATGCATATGTGATAACTAATAAAAGAATTTATTAACCTTGGCTGTGAGATAGTCTACCAAAAGGATTAAAGAGACAAAAAATTCACAAAAAAAAAAAAAACTATTTGCTTGCTTTCTCATTCCCATAGCAGCATGATCATTTGAATGTGTTACTATAGTAATGACATTCTGTGATGATGCATCCTTTAGGCATTGCTGATAATGATCATTAGTCTAAATAACTAAAGCTTCTGATTTTTAAACTCCATTGAATTAATTATTATTCAATTTTTTAAAATTATGTACAGTACTTTTAAATTAAAGAATGTTGGTCCTGTATTTAATTATACTTATTTTGTCATGTAATCATATAAAAGAATATATAAAATATTCTGAAATTCATGTCATAAACATGAAGGTAGTTCAATTTCTGTCCAGAATTTCAGTAATGGTGATAGAAATGTGTGTTACATAAATCCATTTTATGTTTCTTTCTGTAGGTATTCCTTCACATGCTAAAACTTCTTCCATCATTTTGGCAATGATACTATGCTTACGGAATAGTCTTTTGGCTAGTGTCAAAAAACATTGCATAATGAACCCTGTGACTTCAGCATTCTGGGTGAATCTACTGCCTTCCAAGGCTGCCACTGGTCTTTTGAAGGACCAAACAGGTGATAATCACACAGTAACAGATCTGGAGTGTAGGCCAGATGATCCAGAATCTCCTAACCAAGAATTGCCTCCACCATGAGTAGGGTGTGTTACCAAGGAGCAAAATGATGCTCTCTGTAATCTGATCCATCAAGTTATATAGCTTCTTTCAAATAATGGTAACTCTCATCCTTATCTGTTTTACTTTGAGTGTAGCAACAATACCAACTGCAAAATCTGTCACTGAAAATGGAAGTTTACACTATATTTTCAACCAGAAGTGCCCCATACAAGAAGATAATTAATCTGATCTGATCACTTAGATACAGTAGAAGGATAGTTACTGTCCCTACAACCTTGAAGATTTGATTTAGTTACATGAAAAATATGCAACCCTCAAATGACTAATAAAAAATTACTTTAACAGAACTGATGTTGATGTACAGTACCTCAGTTTAGTTGAGACTGTTACCACTGCTGAACCCCCTCTGAATGCCAACACAGACTTCATAAAGCTTATCACCTTCTGCCCAAGATTACTACATCATTCTATACATATGCTTCTGAGTACTTTATGTTTTATTAACATTGCATTTCATACACAAGTATTGTATTCTACTTTCTATTATGTATTCCACTATTTTTGTATAATGTATTTTATTTCATCCTGTAGATCGTATTCATATATAACTTTCAACAAGATCATTTCTCTAATTGATTTACATTTTCTTTAATAAAATGATTAGGCAAACTATCAAAGAAAAAGTGGTTGGTCGAACCAAGAAAACTTTAGAAACTGATTGTGAAAATCCCACCAATGATTTGAGTCCTTATGAGGTCCCTTAATAAACTTCAGATAAGGCATTGCCCTTTCTGCCACAAAACTATCTACGATGCTGCTTGAGACTAATTGCAGTAATGCTTGTGGAACTATAAAAATAAGCCTATAAAAATAGCCTATGGCCTATGACATCAGTAGAGTGCTAATGACAAAGATAAAGTTAGGTCCAAATTTTGCCCATTAGATTGATTCTATCTATCCATGTCACTTTACCATTTTCCTTATATTTTGGATATTAATTATTAAAGAAATCAGTCATTGATTCAATTAAAGTTGAAGATAAAAAATTGATATATGACTTTATGAACAACTCAAAAAATATTTTTGTAGCTGTTTACGCATTCACCATAAATAATTTCATTTAAACTCGTACGACCTTAACTTTAACATGTGCTACATTATTATATTTACCCACTTATAGCCATCAAATGTATTCAAGATGCTCGGCCAATCTCATGCTATTTGTACGGTGACACAAATGCGTCGAGGCCGTCGCATCGTTTAAACTTGATCGAAAATTGTTACGATCCAAGCAAAGAGTGGCAGGGGATTTTTTGCATACAGTAGTGTCCCATACAACGTGCAAATAAAGCAAGCAACACCCTCGAATTTTGTCAACCAGACATATATGTTTTTTTTTTTTTTTCAACTTATAGGCCAAGGTTTAAACTTTCATAAATCGTGTAATAATGCAGGTTTCGATAACACGATTTTCTATAATGAGTAACGAATCCCCTGCATTTTACGGTAATATTATGTAACTCGACCAGACAAATCAATCGACGACCGTCTTGGGAATACACTTAATGCCACTTTGAAGTTTTTGCACACCGAGATGACGACGAGGCGAGCATTTCCATCTAGCTCACACAAGCACGCCAGCTTAAGTAGTCCACTCAACCGTTTGTGCAATACTCGTACGTTATATAGTCGAGGGCTCGTCCCCATCCGTGCGTCGAGGTGCGAACAATGACAAGCACCTTGGCGCAAGACTACACATAAAACAGAGGTAAAGACGACCGACGGCGAGCCTCGAACAACACAGAGCACGGAGAACGGGGCTGCACCGATTTGAGGTAAAAACGTTTTGAAAGTGACCTCCAGCTCCAAACCGTCCCGGAACACCACACTTCATTCAATTACCCCTAAGCAATTAAGAAACAACAGACATCCCTTCTTTAACTCTAACAAAGAAAGGTGGTACCAAAAGGTGGTGGTGTCACGTGATAACTCAATTCGTTTACGTTGCTACCGAGCACCCGGGACTAAATCCGTTGCTTTCGTATCAAAAATGACGAGTTTGATACGAAAACAATCTTACTCACGTTCGAATTTCCTGGAAGAATGCCAATTCCGGCGGCTAGACCTAAAACATTTTCCGATATTTCACAAAATTCGTCGCTCACGTCTCTCTCGTAATACGAAACCAACGTTTCGGTAGAACCGTCGTCATCCTCCATCTTTGAATTTGCCGCCTCCCGGAAAGAATCGTACGCGAATATCGTTATAGAGCGTAAATTATTAAATGATTTTAAAATAAACTTAATAGTTTATAGATGAAAATAAAATTTATTCTTATTATTTTATATACATAAAAAAAGATATTATCTAACGATTAAAATTTGCAGTTAAACATTACGTAAATCGATAATGTAAAACATTCGAAAATAATAATATTTAATTACAATAATTTTTAATGACGATGTAATTATTATTTTTAATTTATTCAAAAATAATAATCGAAATTTTACGAACAGCGCCTCTAGTGTTTAAAGCGTGGAATTAAACATTCCTAAATCAAAACATTGACACGAGTGTTTGTTTATTATTTGCATCTTGTAAATTAAGGGAAAATGTCTTTCAGAGAGCTTAGAAGTGGGTAAAATAATCAAATTATTTGTGCTAAAGATCTATTTAGATATTCTTTTATTTTTAATTTGTCGTAAAGCGTGATAAATAATTATTTTATTCATAAACTTTTCTCGATTTTATTAAAATCGAGGAAAGTTTCAATTACATAAAATTATTTTCCAATATAATTAACTTGATATTATGAATTTTCTCTTCAAATATTCGTAAGGTGTGACCCGAACCATAAGCTTGTTTTTTTTTCCTTTAATAATGCATTTATAAATTAATTTAATAAATTTTTTTACAGGTTTTACAGAAATGATGCGCGCCTTGGGCTATCCTAGATTGATTTCCATGGAAAATTTCAGAAATCCAAATTTTTTGTTAGTTGCCGAAATCCTTCAGTGGTTGGTTAAAAGGTATCGCCTGCTGTTTTTTTTTCTAATCTCTTGTGTGATTTTAGTAATATATTATCATTTATTTTCCTTACATCATTCTTACAGCTTCATTTATTGACTTATTCCAAAACCGTGTCTTCTTTTAATTATTCTTTACTTTGCAACTGGGTGCATAGGTAGACACTGGGCATCTTTAACGTTGCTCTTATATCTTACGTGCTGATGTGCGTTTTGGGCGTGCACCCCTCTTCCGTCGGCTTTTTCTTTAAGAAATTTAGTAAAGAGGTGCTAACCAATGCAAATCCTTTTTTAAAATACTGTATGTATATTTATACTTAAAATTTCTCGACGGTGCACCGAACGGCACTTAGCCTTCGCTCGGGCAGTGTGTATTTAGTGTATTATGCATAAATTTAGCCAGGCATTTTCTCTAATGATGTGGAAAAAGAGAACGTGGATATACAGTACAGTAATTTATTACAATCAGTTCTATACAGAAGTTTTTTAGAGCTAAAATTACCATATTTTGATAATGTGCATCTTTTTCCCAAATTTGTGAGGGAAAAATAAGGATGCACATTTTGCACGGCAATAATACTAATTCCATATCTATATAAATGTTTTTAATTATTTTATTTATGCTTATGAGTTAAAAAAGTAGCTATAGAAATTGATAACAATATTCACATAGAAAGTAATATCCTGGAATATGATAATTGGTTTTGTTGAACTTATGAAAAGCTTGTAGCAAAAGCAATTTTAGTCAATTATTCAATAAAATGAAATGAAGAGTGGTGTATTAGCAAAATAAAAACAGGAATTAATAAAGGAAAACGTAAAAAGATAGTAGATTCGTCTAATTTTAAAAAATAAAAAAATTATGGATGTTTATCTACATTAATTTCTTTGTTGCTGGCTATTGATCAAGAATTTTATATAAATTACTTCATAATACATAAAACAAGTACTTAAATATAAAGAAATAAAAACTTGAATTAAAAAATTAAAATGAAAGATTTTTCTTGAATTTCCTTTATTTTTTAAAAATTGCATATAAATATTCATTAATAGTAATCTTGGTTTATCATTGTGATTTTTAAAATAAGAATAAATTTATAATAATTTATTACATATAGAGATTTTTTTAAATAATTCTAATATCCGGAATATTTTTATTAAAATTAATTTTTCAAATTTTATAATTAAAAATATTTTTTTATAGATATGATCCAAATATTGAAGTGCCTAGTGAGATTGATACAGAACAGGATCGTGTTATTTTTATTAAATCTATTGCCCAAATCATGGTATTTTATAATAATTATTTATGATATACAGGATATTCACATGAAAAGTTTACTTTTAAAAAATAGATTTGGTGATATCAAGAAATATAAATGCCAGTTACAGTCCTTCTATGCATAGCATTATACACTTAAATCTTGAGCATTTATTTCCTATGGATTTAAGGAATAACATTCAAAACTCTATCATCATCACCAAATCTACTCCTCTTGAGTAAACTTATCATTTGTTTGTCCTATTTATATATATTTATCTTAAAAATATTCTAAAATTTGAGATATTTATCCAAATTAAATAATTATTTATTTACTTACATTTTAAGGATTTTAAATAACAAATATACATGTTGTTAGAAAATTTCTGTAATTATATATACTGAGAAATTTAAACTTTTTTCCAGGTAACAAAAGCAAATATTAAATTAAATACAAAAAAGTTATATATGGCTGATGGTTATGCTGTAAAAGAATTGCTTAAGATTTCTACTTTGTTATATGAAGCTATGAGGACCAAAGCTGGAAATGATTTGGACAGTAGTGGAGATGAAGGTTCTTTAAATGTTAACTTTGATTTATCAACAAAGGTATTAAATATTTTAATATATTCAAATTTCAAATTCCTATCACTCTACATCATATGCTAACTTACTTCTAACCCATTCTCTCTGCTGAACAGATTATGTGACTGAATTAACTCTCACTACAAAATGCACATGCACTTCTTAAACATCCTAAACTCTCTTTAGTTCATTTATTTTCAAACCCTGCACAAGCCCCTTCAACACAAAAACATATTTTCTAATTCAATGAGGTTTTTGCTATCCATTTACTTGCAGGCATTAAGTGTAAAATACATTTTATTTTTTATAAATGTAAATTAATAATTAAAATGTTTGTCTAAATTTGAAATATTAATTTTACTTTCAATATTACTTTAGCTTGCAGATTTGAAATTAACTCGTCAACTGGCATCAGATATTACTATTAAAGGTGCCTCATTATATGATTTACTTGCCAAAGAAATTGATTTGAGGGTAAAGAATTTTGATTTATTATAAAATGTTTTATATCATAATAAAAATTAACGAGATTTTGAATTTTTTTTTAAATAAGTTTTCTGAATCTTTCATTTATTAAAATGTATGTAGAAAGAAATGTAATATTATGAACTCATTATTTTGAAATAAATATATTAATTTAAAATTTTAATTTAATCAAACTAATATATATTATGTTGTGTTATTTATTGAAGTTTTATATTATTCCAATGAGAATTTATATTTTTTTAATCATTTTTGAACAAAATTTCCAAAGATATATAACATGTATAAATAAATATATGATTATATATATAATGTTACTTATTTTAAATTTTTAAAAAATTTTTAAGGATAAACGTTCATTAGTTCTGGCCAAACAGCATGAAATAACAGAAATTGAGAAAGAATTACGCAATTGCATTAAAGCAGTTGAAGTAAGAAATATTAAAAATTTTATTATTATTATTTATTTAAATATTAAAATTTTATTATTATTTATTTTATTATTACTATTATTACTATTATAGTAGACTCCAATAAGTCAAACTTAACTCAAAATTCTAAGTTGAGTTTATTATTTTTGTCTTAACTCAATTTTTACAGACTCAATGCATTTCATGTTTCTATAAGTCAGTTTATTAACCCAAATTTAAGATCTGGATACTTTATTTTAATTTTTTGTGCATTCTTTTGCATTTTCAAGAGGATGGATGATGATGATGATATTAAAAAGCTGAAGATTGGTATTGTATAGAATTACTCTTATATTGTAGGACATAGGACATAAAATTCAAATGATATTTTGTGCCTAAAGTAACAGCTTTATTCTTAAATGCAAATTGATCAATCAAATTTTAGTTCTTTAAAGTAATTATTTTTCAGATGTTTAGATTTTAAAAGTTTAAAATGTAACGAACACGTCTGTGATTTGACAGCTTAGTTATTGGTCAATTAAATTTATGAGTTTGCCTATGTATATTTTCTTATTTAGATTAAACATTTATACCATATAAATTTCACTGTAAAGTTTGAATTGCATGTTGACATTTTTTACTGATAGTGACCAGTTAATCAGTATATTGACCATTTTCATTTGAAAGTAGATAGAAATAGCAAACACAAGAAACTAAAAATTTTGTTTATCACAGAAGAGGTATAAAAATAAAAAAATTAGAAATTACAATAGAATTTGTCATACCCTTGAGTGTTTTCTCTGTATATATGAAAAACAAGAAAAGGACTTTAGAAAGTGTCAATGAAAAATAGAATTAGACAAAACAAAAAGCATAAATACAAGTATCCAGATGCTGAATAGCCTCTAAAAAGTAATAAAGTATAATGTATTTAAATCTATTTGTATTGTTTATATTGTGATATTTATGATCTCATTAAAATAATGGTAGTTTCCATAACTCAAAAATCTTTCTCTTACCCTTCCACTTTGAGGTATTGTGAGAATACTATAGATACTATAAATTATTTTCTTTATTAATATGATATAAACTTTATATTTTAGGAAGAAATACAGAAAACTCATCAAATGATAGAAAATGTAGCATCTGATGAAGCAAATTTGGAAGCTAAAATAGAGAAGAAAAAAATAGAACTAGAAAGAAACCAAAAAAGATTTCAAACATTAAAATCCGTTAGGTAAATATATTTAATTTTTGCAATTTCTATTACTTAATTTAATAATTAAAATAAATCCATGAAGTAAAAGTTTATTTTTGCATACATTAAATAAATAAATTATTTTATCACATCTTTCTTAGAAGAAACTTTTCATACATATAGAATATAATCATAAAAATTGTCTAAATATAACGTTTAAACACTAAAGTTTACATTATTATATAGTAGTTTCAAACTTGACAAATTTGAATTACTTGAAAACTTGACGAACTTGATTAGACAAATTTAAATCAAATTGCTTTTTCCCTTTTATAAAATGATTTCTTAACTTCTATTAAGTCCAAAAAAAAATTTCTATTTTAGTTTTATTAGAAAAATTATAATAGAATTATAGATTTTAAAATGTAACAAATTATTCTTGTTTAATATTTACTATTATATACAGATACAGTAACTTCTGTAATCTGGCACCAAGTAATCCAGAAATGTTCATTAATCTAGCATGTTTCAGGATCATTGAGTCTCTACTTAGAAATTGCAAATTATGCAAAGTATATGAGAGTTTATATTATGAAGGTAATTTTGAACATGGGAAGAGTGGGAAGGGGTGGGTTAAAATAAAAGAAATCAGAGAAATTGAATTTACAGTGGGTGATCAGTTAACGAACATGGTCTTGGAATGGATTATGTTCGTTAACTAATTATCTTCTGTCCACTCTACCTTGGCTATTACCTCTTGCTTGTTTTCTATGGTGAGCATTGTTCTTGACACTCCACTCTTTTTAGTTTCCATAATATTATGTTTCTTTTTTAAATAAAAAGTTCAGAAAAGCACTTACAAAAAATTCAGAAAACAGGCATCAACTAACACACAAAAAAGTTGTGTAAATTTGAGGTCTAGACAAAATTTGAAATTTGGTGTTGAAGTGTTACTGAATATCCGATAGGACAATTAAACTCTTACCTTTTGAAAATAAAAACCAATGAAAAACTTAATGAGTACCCAACAGTTTCGTAAAGACTATAAAAAATTCTTTCTGTCAGAAAGATAAACAAAAGGCTGGAATTACAAGGGAGAGTTTCAAAGTTCAGAGGAATAATACTATCTGAATGGTATCGGGTTGAGCATCATGTTGATGTCTCTCATGCTCCGAAAGGTTTTGAATTGTCATTTGGAGACAAGGGAAGACCAATCAGTATTCATTATTTTACATCTCTTCTTCTTGTGTTTGTTATCTGAACATGTGTTTGGTGTCTGAACATAAAAAAATCTTTCACAAAAGTGTTCATTGTTCAATTTGTTTGCAGTCTGAGACCCAGAAAACTATGGATAAAGGAAAATAGTAGATGTAGGGACCTATATAAAATGAAAAAAAAATCACATATGCCTGTAACTTTATTTATTATTAACAAACTTACATTAATGATATTTTTTTCACCGTCAAGTTCAGTCTGTACTGCTTCTTTTAAAAAATGTTAATCTTCATTTATTTAGTAGCAATGGGCTTTGCATGATCAACACATTGGATGAGACAGTGTAGGGCACTCCAAGGCATCTTTGTGCACTAAATAGGTTAAATAGGATTTGTTCAGAATTCCTAGAAGTTGAAATGTTTCCAAGAAAACAACACACATCAGGGAATGATAGATTGAGGTTTTTCACAGTATATTATGTTCTTTCTGTAATCCTATTAAGCTTATTTTCAAATAAGATAAAAACAGTTTGATTAGACAAATATAAAAATCACAAAATCTAACATCATAAATCATTATGTTTAGCCCTAGTTTTTATCGTTCTCTACATCTTTACTTATCATTTAAATGATAAATACAATTATTAAGCTGAGAATTACATTAAAAATGTTGAGTCAATTTATCTTAGGATATTTATGAATAATAAATGTATCCATAATTTTTATGACAAGTTATAAAGAGTTTAATTATACATTGTTTCAGGCCAGCTTTTATGGATGAATATGAAAAATTAGAAAAAGAGCTGGAAGCTGTCTACAATCAATATCTTGTAAAATTTCGATGTTTAGCTTTTCTAGAACAACAGCTAGAGGAACTTGAAAAGGCCGAACAAGAACAAATGGAGGTAAAATAATATTTTAAATATAGTTGAAAGTATAACAATAAAAGCTTTTTTTACTTAAAATGATAAATAAAGCCAATATTGCCACGTAATAGAAAATTACTATGATATAAAATAAGAACTGAATGATGAACATATAGAATTTAGAAACTAATTTACTGTAATTTATGCCATGTATTTTTCTGAAAATTCAACATTTTTAACTTAAATTATTTAAATATTTTGATTATCTCAATACATTTGGTAATGTCATTACCTAAATATATGAAATTATCAATATTTTAAAATAAAGAATGTAAAAAAATTCTAAATAAGTTAATTAATATAACTGTATTTTTTACAAGTAGATAATCAGAATTAAATTGGATTACAAGGATTTATAAATGATTATAAACAAAATATTGATTTTTATTATTATTAATATACTGTTAAAATGTTTTTATCATCTTATTTTACTAAATTCTTTATGCTATTTGGTATAATTTTGAATATAATATAATTATTTTTAGGAAAGAGAACAACAAATTAAAAAGATGGTTGAGAAACTCAGAGAAGAAGAATTACTTCGAAGTGATGCTACCAGCAATTTAGATGATATAACTATTGCAGAAGGAGATAATATTGACATTAATGAAAATATGAATAAAGAAAAACCAAAAAGGCCTCAACCTGGAGGTAAATTATGTTGGCTAAATACTATCTAAGTTCTTAAATAATTTTTATACCTGACATTTTTATTTTGTTCCAAAATAGTTGTCACATTTTTCATAAATAGAAATGTATGTTATAATTTAACTTTTAATCATAAAATATAGCTCAAGTACTATTAACATTATTTGAACACTCTTTAATCTTTAAATATCGTCATGATTACATTCGATCCTTGGGGATGATCATTTATGACACTGTGTAGTTTACTGCTTTTATATCACTGTAACATGAATTTCAAACATTGAAAATTTTATTAATTTATTCATTTTTCTTTAAGCTTCAATTTTCATTAATGATTTCTTTATCTAATTCTACTTTGAAAGTAGTACAGATGCACTTTTGAATTATCCATTTTGAATTTAGAATTAACTTTATTTATGTACACATTCAAAAAATCATTGAAATGGATTGTCTTAAAACAGTTTTTATGAAGATCTTATTCTATTAATCAAATATCAATTCTGACAAATGTTGAAAATATTATTAAAAAAAAAGACAAATGTGACAATTATTCTGATACAGTTTTATTTATATATATTTGCTATCAATGGTTTAGCTGCAAAAAATATGATCTATTTTAAAGTCTGACAAGTTGCTGTTTTAACTTTTAAAAAAAANTATAATAAAAGCAAAATAAAAGTAAAATAAAAATAAAGCTCGGACTTGGTTCCTTACACCGCAATATCAAATAAGTTATCTAAATCTATTTGGAAAGTTTTCTCACGGTGCTTATAAGCATCTTGAGTTTTCTTATTGTTTTTTTGCAACTTTCTCCATATGTGATAAAGATCCACCAATTTCTTGACACAGTTAAGTTAGATTTTGAAGGTATTCTAGCTTTTTCCCAAAATATGATACACTCGTGTATTACAAGATTTGCACTTTCACTCACAGTTAATTTAACTTCATTAATGTTAAAAAACAAAACTGTGAGTACTTGCCAATTTGATGGTAATTTTGCACCTGTGATTTGGTGATTTATCTCGCTGACTAAGAAAGTTAGATTGGCAAACAAAGCGAATACACACTACTTCTCTAGCACAACATGTATGGACGTGATTCAATGCGAGTCGGCACAAATTCTAGTGACCAAAATGAACTGAAATGTATTGTGTGAGTATTTAAGGGTAAAATAAACAAAACTAGGCCATATGCATTAGAAAAAAAATATTCGAAAAATAAGGGACACCCTAATATATATTCTTTATAAGTTACATGATCTATAGATCTACAACAATAATTTCAAATGAATTTAAGCAGTATATAGAACAACATGACTATGTTAAAATGTGTATGACAACATTGTATTAATTTTCAGAGTAAATAGTATCATAGAAATGCTAATGTAAACATTTAGTTATTAAATTATTCTTTATATATAAAAGTTTTATAAGTCATATTTAATATTTGTTTCAGTTTTAAATATACATTTTATAAACTAAATTATTTTTAAAAAATTGAAATTATTGACAAAACATTTCAAAATAAAAATTTTATGTATGACAAAATAAGCTTTATTACATAAATATCAGTGTTGACAGTTATAGTCAATATTTTGTAAATGATGTCAATTATACATTTTTCAAATATTTTTTTTTTTCTAACACATATGGCCTAGTTTTGTTTATTTTACCCTTAAATACTCACACAATAAATTTCAGCTCATTTTGGTCACTAGAACCCATGCCAACTTACATTGAATCATGTCCATACATGTTGCGCTAGAAAAGTGGCGCATATTCACTTTGTTCGCCATTCTAACATGACTTGTTAGGCTATTAACACATATAGTTTTATTTTTCAAAGATGTCAGTGGAATTAAAAAGTGCTAAAAAACATATTTTCTTAGTTGGAGAGATAAACCACCAAATCATGGGTGCAAAATTACAGTCAAATCGGCAAGTGCTTGCAGTTTTGTTTTTTAACATTCACGAAGTTTTAAATTTTTTTCAATATCAGAACTGTTAGTAACTTGGGAGATTTTTATTTCAAACACACTTCTTAAAACTAGCTCATATGTATATGATGGCAACAAGCAAAGAGTAACAGCTCTCAATTAATATGCCTCAATGTCCTTAGTTTATTGTAATCTTATTTCATCCACTAGTACATATCTATTAACAGGACTTATTAAACTGGCTTTAAGGATACTGCAACTCAGTTTCAGATTATAAAATTGTTTTATTTAATTTAAAATCTGTGAAACTGAGTTGCAGTATCCTTAAAGCCAGTTTAATAAGTCCTGTTAATAGATACGTACTAGTGGACAAAATATTTTTTTTCGATGTTTCATTTTTTGTTGTTGATGCAGCCTTCATAGAAATATTTTTGAGCCTTTTTCTCTCTACTTCTATTTTTCTTTGCCTTGCCCTTTCTTCTTTTTTTGGCCAATTTTTTATCTATACCCACCAAGCAGCCCTGACACCCTGGTTCTCTCTGTTTCTGTAAGAATTTTTTATCTTCCTCTATTGTCATATGTTCGAAGGAATCGGCATGTGCTGTAAAGTACTATATTTAGTTTGTTGCTCTACAACGAATTTTTCTTAAAGAGCCGGGACCTAACGGGTACTTTACACGGGTTCGCGTTTATTAGTTGCCAGGCCTGGACTTTTAGTGTGCACCGAAATAAATTAAGGACAAAGTTAGTCACAAAAAAATCTCAATAATAAATGTTTAATCAAGTCTAATAAATACTGTGTACAAGATTTATAAACAAACAAACAAATTTATTAAATAAAAAAATCAAATCACAATCAACCCGACAAACTTAAGTCTTATTCTAACTTAGAAGTATTCCCCTTGGAATTCCGACAAAACAAAATCCAATTCTTAACTTAGTTACAAATTCTCTTATAACTATCAATCCTAACCGTCACCTCAATTAATACTCGGNTGAGGATCGTGTTATTTTTATTAAATCTATTGCCCAAATCATGGTATTTTATAATAATTATTTATGATATACAGGATATTCACATGAAAAGTTTACTTTTAAAAAATAGATTTGGTGATATCAAGAAATATAAATGCCAGTTACAGTCCTTCTATGCATAGCATTATACACTTAAATCTTGAGCATTTATTTCCTATGGACTTAAGGAATAACATTCAAAACTCTATCATCATCACCAAATCTACTCCTCTTGAGTAAACTTATCATTTGTTTGTCCTATTTATATATATTTATCTTAAAAATATTCTAAAATTTGAGATATTTATCCAAATTAAATAATTATTTATTTACTTACATTTTAAGGATTTTAAATAACAAATATACATGTTGTTAGAAAATTTCTGTAATTATATATACTGAGAAATTTAAACTTTTTTCCAGGTAACAAAAGCAAATATTAAATTAAATACAAAAAAGTTATATATGGCTGATGGTTATGCTGTAAAAGAATTGCTTAAGATTTCTACTTTGTTATATGAAGCTATGAGGACCAAAGCTGGAAATGATTTGGACAGTAGTGGAGATGAAGGTTCTTTAAATGTTAACTTTGATTTATCAACAAAGGTATTAAATATTTTAATATATTCAAATTTCAAATTCCTATCACTCTACATCATATGCTAACTTACTTCTAACCCATTCTCTCTGCTGAACAGATTATGTGACTGAATTAACTCTCACTACAAAATGCACATGCACTTCTTAAACATCCTAAACTCTCTTTAGTTCATTTATTTTCAAACCCTGCACAAGCCCCTTCAACACAAAAACATNGTATCCATTAAAATTTGATTAATTACATAATCAAAATATTTGATGTTTTAGTTAAAATGTATAAAACACAATAACAAATATGTTTTATTAAAACTATTTGATTTGATATAAAAATATTATTCATATAAAACATAATATAATTCATTTACATTTCAAATTAAAATTAACAAAATTTATAAAAATTGGATCCAAATATTGATAGGTAATTTTCATGTATGGAATGTGAAAAAGAATTAAAAATCTTCATAGCCAGGAAGAGGAAATTTCATTGCAAAATTTTCAACTTCTTCTCTTAACATTTTCAATTTCTCTTGAAATTTATTTTCTTCAAGTTTTGCTTTAAATTCTTTCAGTGTAGGACCACTTGCAGCTTTTACTTCAACAGCTATATCTAAACCTAAATAAATGATCAACGTTAAATTTTGTATGGCAATTAATATAAAATAATATATTTTATTAAACCAATAAATAATCTTTTTTACTTAGGGAAATCAGAATTAAATTTATATTTCAAATATTCAAAAATCAACTTTTGCAAATAAAAAGTATTATATTTGCTTTTTAAATTTTTCATTGTCTAAAAATACTTATCAGATTAGAATCAGTGCCATTTGTAAGAAAGTACAGAGCAAATCATATCAATTACTGAGCAAGCATTTACAATATATTTTAATGTGAGAATTTAGAATAAAGTCTGCATGTATAACAAAATGGAATTTCTAGATTGTTCAACTCAATGGAAGGCCTAAAACATAGTAACAATCACAACAATAAATGGCTGAAATGATAGATACTTAACCCAAACATCCATATATAAACAAGCAAATTTTTTTAGATATTAAATACTATTAAATTTAATATGAAATTGCAGTATTGTCTATCTCTAGTTTTAATTTATAACAACAATCAAATGAAAAATTGTGGAATTATAGCCATATATATTAATTGTATATTAATCAGAAGTTTGTGCCAGTAGATAAGCAAAAGCATGCAACATCATTCATTTTCCATCTTTTCATCATTCAGGAGAATGGATAACAACAAATATACAGGGTAGGAAAGAAAGTTACTTAACATCCTGCTACAGAATGTAGAATGTACCCAAAGTTAATTTGTTCATGTCAGGAACACATTAGACCAAAGGTGAAACAGATTGTTGTGTTACACACACAGCCATCATCAATATGGCCATGTGTCAAGATGGCAGCCATATTGAATGCAACTCTAAAACTGTAAATGGGTAGGGGGCCATGTGACTAGTGTTGCCACCAGGTCGGTTTTCATCTGGACAAGCCAGTTTTTAAATTCATGGTCCAGATTAATTATTAATTTGCCTAGTTTTTGTAAAAATTCTGAAATTATGATAAAACAAATTAAATTTATAAAAATATTAGTGAGTATTTTATTTTAACAGTTAAAGACTAACTTCACACCTCCACCCAAAGTTATCTCCATCTTATCCCTAGGCTGAGTGACAGAAAATGTACTTTTAAAATTCTAACTTGCAAATATTAGGTTTGTTCCAACACAAGCCCCTAACTGGTTTAAAACATTGTTCAGTTCTTGGCTGTAAAATGACATTGTGCATGCCTCATACGGTTTCAAATTCAAACCAGTTAGGGACTTGTGTTAGAACAAACCTATTGTAAAACAAATGTGACAGTTTCAGTTTACAAGTTATAATTTCTATTTTAATTATTTAATATGACAACTCAAGAAATTGAGTCCTAAAAATTTTTTTTAGGACTTTTTTGGGTTGTGTTCTTGGAATGCTGTGTAAACAAAGATTTGTAGAAAATAAGACAAATCATTCAATAACAGTATATTAAAATTTAGAATTCATTTTGTAAATGCTGCAGTGGTCATCAATATATAGCAATTTAAGTTGATAAAATAAAATTTGGGAAAAACGTCTGGCAACATCAGAAGCGTCGAANTGAGTTGGTTAATCTCTTATCTTCTTGTTTTGAACGTTCTGGGATGATGGGTGAGGAAACCTTCGTCCTAACTAAACATAAGCCCCAAACAAAAATATAATAAAAGCAAAATAAAAGTAAAATAAAAATAAAGCTCGGACTTGGTTCCTTACACCGCAATATCAAATAAGTTATCTAAATCTATTTGGAAAGTTTTCTCACGGTGCTTATAAGCATCTTGAGTTTTCTTATTGTTTTTTTGCAACTTTCTCCATATGTGATAAAGATCCACCAATTTCTTGACACAGTTAAGTTAGATTTTGAAGGTATTCTAGCTTTTTCCCAAAATATGATACACTCGTGTATTACAAGATTTGCACTTTCACTCACAGTTAATTTAACTTCATTAATGTTAAAAAACAAAACTGTGAGTACTTGCCAATTTGATGGTAATTTTGCACCTGTGATTTGGTGATTTATCTCGCTGACTAAGAAAGTTAGATTGGCAAACAAAGCGAATACACACTACTTCTCTAGCACAACATGTATGGACGTGATTCAATGCGAGTCGGCACAGATTCTAGTGACCAAAATGAACTGAAATGTATTGTGTGAGTATTTAAGGGTAAAATAAACAAAACTAGGCCATATGCATTAGAAAAAAAATATTCGAAAAATAAGGGACACCCTAATATATATTCTTTATAAGTTACATGATCTATAGATCTACAACAATAATTTCAAATGAATTTAAGCAGTATATAGAACAACATGACTATGTTAAAATGTGTATGACAACATTGTATTAATTTTCAGAGTAAATAGTATCATAGAAATGCTAATGTAAACATTTAGTTATTAAATTATTCTTTATATATAAAAGTTTTATAAGTCATATTTAATATTTGTTTCAGTTTTAAATATACATTTTATAAACTAAATTATTTTTAAAAAATTGAAATTATTGACAAAACATTTCAAAATAAAAATTTTATGTATGACAAAATAAGCTTTATTACATAAATATCAGTGTTGACAGTTATAGTCAATATTTTGTATAAGAAAATGATTATTAATTATCTCCAAATATGTTCAATATATCCATTAATACAAAGTTAAGAATCATGCTTGCTCATGAAATTTAGCATGAATATTATTGATAAAAAGTTTCAATAATAATAAATTGACTTATTAGATAGTTCAAACACAGTAAAATCTGTGTAAACTGGAATCACACAGTACTGAATATTTTTTCTGGTTCAACAGGTTCTGTTTTGGACAGGTTTTTACTATAAATCAATTAATTATTACACATTCATAATTTATACTAATATATAGTTACAGAAATAATATCAATTTTATCAATAAAGTATAATTACCAGAAGTTATAATTTTTTCTTAGTTTTTTCATACTGTACCAAAAATTAAAGAATATATATCTCAAATAATTATTATTTCCTTAGCATCTGGATTAAGGAGAGATGTTGGAAGAAGAGTTTTTGGGTCTATGACTGGAGCCGATAAAGATGTAAGACATTATTTATTTTCTTTACTAAAATACATAAATTTACAATATTTTCTTTCATTATTATTTGTAATATCCTTCTATTGATATAGTATTTTCTCATAAATAGTTTTATTCTAGAATGATCAAGAATATATGGTCAAAACATTTTTTTTCATTTGCATGCATTTTCTTGCAGTCAGTCATATGTCAAAACAAAATTTTCAAAATACATACTGTACTGTACATATGTGCATAACTATATACACACCTTACAAGGATATGCACTAAATAAATAATAAATATCAATCAAGCATGTTTGGAAACTGACTAATGATTAATTATTTTTAATTTTTTAATAAGAGATCATATTTCTGTAATTTTTTTTTCAAGTTATGGATCCATTTTCACATTTTCAATTTGCCATTTGGATGTAAAATTCTGCATTAAAATTAGATAAATGGATTTTGGAAATTTTAAGTTTGAAAATGACAAAAGTTGTTGTAAAAGTGCTACAATTTGTTAAATTGTTAAATGGTTAAAACACTCCTGACAAAGAATTATAATATTAAGTATTTCTCTACTGGTATGATTTTTTTCTAAATTTTTATATTTTTTTAATTTTTGTACAAAATTCATTTTATAACCAAATTTGTTAGAAAAAAAATTTATTAAAATTGAATATTTTTGTTATTAAAATCATGGTTTTATGATTTAGAAACTAAGTTTATTTCTTTATTAAATACAGAGTGATCAGATATTATTTACTGAAATGTAAAGAATTGTCAGATATGTAATCATTTTACGTATTTAATCTCTTTTCTCTGGACTTCAGTTATAATTTTGCATTGCCGTTTCCAATCTTGAAATCTTTGTTTGATAAAATCTTAATGAATCTTGTTCTAAATTTCTTTTGCTTTTTTTGTATAGAATAGTTATAGGATACCTCACAATATAGATTTCTGTTAAACTTAGAAGGCATTTTGATGAGTGGTAAGACGCCATGCACACTGATTATTCCAACTATCATAAAGGCCATCTTTCAATGCAGTATTTCAAACAACTTACAAGAAATATTTTCCAAATTCTGATTTCACATTATAGTAATTTAGATACAGCCATTTCTCATTCAATGTGAAATTTTTTTCATTAAAGTTTCTGCAATTAAGCTGGGTAATCACGAGTGATTTCTCTACACAATTTGAACACTTGGCAGTGTGCAGGTGTGACTTATAAAAAAAAAAATGGGAATATAAATTACACAGTTTGGCATGAATTAGATGCATGAGCTGAATGTACTTTTTCATTGCATGAATCAGACACATCCATTCAGCTGTAAATATCATCAGATGGTTTGACATTTTCTACAAAATAGCTTGATAGACATTTCAACTGCTTATTTTAATGTACTTCTGGTGGTATTAATTCCTAATACTGGTGGTGTTACATTTACTTTACATTCATAAATACTCATTTCCCTGATGAAGGGGCTTCAGTATTTGAAAACTGTGATATAATGTGACATTTTCTTGCTGATTTTTGAAATTCAGGCATTGGAATTGATAAGAAACTACTGTTATTTCCTCAGAGGTAAAAATTATGTTGATAGTGCTGTTATATAACTACCATATACTACTAAAAATGGTCATTTTAATAGATGCTTACAGCAAGGAAGGACAACAATCTGTATACTTTTTTACTTACCAGGAATTCTATACAATTGAGAGTAAAAATAATATATGATTTGTTCACTTTCTTGATAATTGTCATAGAACAGAATTATCATGAACAGAGTCTACAGATAAAAATTTTAATGTCAAAACAATTGAACAATAATTCTTTAAAGACAAATTTATGGACATATTACAAAATTGATGGAATTTTCATTAATATATATATGAAATACTTTTCAAGTTTGTTGAACACTAAAAAAAATGTATTAAAATTATTACTATGTCAAATAATAATAATTGTTTTTTTGTGCTTATAATGTTATTTTTTTAAGATACGATTTTTTTAAAAATCATTTTTACTTACATTTAATTACATAATCAATATTTGTACCAAATTTTATTTATTTGATGCATTTGTATTATATTTTAACAGGATAGTTTAGAAAGTGATTCAGATCTAGATTTAGAGGGTGAGGATGACGATGGATCTGATGTGAGTGATGGAGAACTTGATCTCATGACTCTTGGAGATAGAAAACCGGTGATACCTCAGCATAGCCTTCCAGATAGTGATAATGACTTTTAACACACAAATTGTTTTATAAGTTGTTATTTATTTTGTTTGAAAATTAGTTTAATAAATTAATATTTGTTTTAGTGTTATATTAATTTTATATTATGTTTTGAAAATAATCTATAAATGTATATTTGTATAAATTAATTTTTATTTGAAGTTAATGCAGATTTTGCAAGAAACATGCATATCATTATAACTCTATCACATTTATTAATATAGGACATTTTGTACATTAATATAATTATGTAATCCAACATGTCTATAAAAAAAAGCCATTATGTAAGTTAATCAAATTCAAAGGTTGGATGTCATGCCAATATTTTTACTAAAATAAGAAAGAAATTTTCACAAAAATGCACAAGTGCTAGCAGCAAAATAAAACGTTCTCTAAACATATTTAATGCCTTTTTGTGAAAATTTCTTTCTTATTTTAGTAAAAAAAGCCAATATTTTTGTCTTAGAAATTAAAAATTTTATATAAAAATCATATATAATGTATATATAAACGATCCACAAACCTAATATCTTAATTAAAGCCAAACAATCTGCCATATTATCAGGCTAGATGAGACTAAATTAATAATTACTTATAATTTGACTAGAGATGGATGGTTAATCTGCCATGTTGTGATAATTTTAATAATTATAATACATTAAATATTAAAAACTAATTTAAGTTTCTGGGAAAAAAAGAATTGTCCGGAGCAGACTCAAACTCATAACTCCTGCTTATTGTACAGATACATTGCCAATTGTACTACCTACTGTATAACTCTGCTTGATCTCCACTTCCAGAGCTACTAATTTAGATTTAACCATACTGGTCACTTGGTGTGATGACTGGGGATGACTTCAGTACCAACAGCCTGTAACTTCTTTCATAGCACTCAGACAGCTATCACTTTTACTTTGGCATGCCAGATATACTGTATATTGACATATCTAAATCCAATTTATTAGTTAAACTAAATGAAGTGCCAAATTATCAGGCTATTATATTACTAAGTTAATGATCAGAAACTAATTAATTTGTATAGAGGTACAGAGGAGGTCCGGGTAGTGTAACTGGCAATGCATCTGCACAGCAATTGGGAATTGTGGGTTTAAATCCCACTTTGGGCTGATTCTTTTCTTCCAGAAAATTCTACATTAAAAATTAATTTATCATAATTATTAAACTTAATATGAGATGGTGGCATAAATGCCTACATGTAGACAAATTAATTAGTTTCTAATCATTAACTTAGCCATACAATAGCCTGATAATTTGGCACTTCATTTAGTTTAACAAATTATTAACTTCTGATGAATTTCTCATTACAATAGAAACAAATTTTTGTTTAATCACATTATTATTTATTTTCACTTACATAGAGTTATATGGACTTTCCAATATAAACACAGCACAAACTGTTACCTGTAGATTAGTTAAGGTAGATTTGCCACCATCCATTGTGAAGATTCCTCCTCACCATGGTTCAATGTAATGCAAGATTGCAGTGGTGTCATACCAGAGTTACTTGGCATGACAAGTGGAACAGAGTTGTATTTAGTGATGAGTTTGCTTCTGCTTGAGACTAATGATTGCTAATTGAAAGTCTGGAGATATGGTCACAGCTAATCTTGCTGTCATTCAGGAGTGTCATGCAGGCTTTTGGAATGCCATCAGCATCAACTACAAATCACCTTTAGTACACATAATGAATACAATGATGGCATTCTGAAACATTGATGAGATGCTACAGTTCATCTTGTTACCATGTTTTCAAGATATACTAAGTGGCATTTTTCAGAACAATAATACACAGTTAACATTAGCAGTCCCTGCAAGGTGTCCAAGTATTTCTTGGCCAGCATGATTCCCAGATCTCTCTCCAATCGAGAATGTGTGGAAACAATATTGACAAAATAAATGCCTCTGTGAATGCTCTCGAAATGAAGATGAATTATGGACCCTAGCCAATACCTCATGGTCAACAATTCCTCAGGACTTAAATCACCTGTGTAAAACAACAAAGCACAAAACATCATGGGAGGGGTGGAACCTCTGTCACTTCTGGCTAGCTATGCACATGCAAGATTCTAAGAAAATCACCTTGCTTGTTTAACATGTTGAAATCATCTTAACATTTTAAAAACCAAAGCATTTATAAAATAAAAATAAATAATTACAAATGATTATTATTGTAATTTGGAAGATTAGGCTAAAGCTCAGTATAAAAAAGCTTAAGCAATTTCACTTGGGGTAACCTGATCCCGTAGAGGTTGAACTACACAATCTCACAATCTCCTTAGCTGTGATATCACAAAATGGTCTGAAATTACTCTGCTCAAATTACATAACTACACTCACTAGCCAATGAATTAGAAACAGCAGTTTAATAGTTTATTGGACCATCTTTAGCTCAATCTTTACATCATTTAATCGATTTAGTATGGTTTCTACAAGGCGCTGAAGTGCTTCGAAGTTTAATGTACACCAGGCATTCACTAGACTTTCCTTTAGTTTGCGTAGATTTGACAGAAGTGGACTTTGCTGGTGGATATGTCATTCTAACATGTCCCATACATTCTCAATGGAGTTAAGATCTGGGCTCTGTGGTGGCCAGGGTGGGTGGTGAAAGTAATCTTTATGCTCACTGAATTCTTATGTGATGGACAGTAGTGTTGTCATCAAAGAAAGAGCCATCACATGCAGGAAAAAAAAATGCAACATTTCAGGATGAACTTGATCGGCAACAATGTTCAGGTACTCAGAAATCACCCGACCTTCCAGGAATATCAGCAGACCAGTTCTGTCCCAACAGAATATGCCCCATACCATAACACCCCCACCAGAACCTTGAATTGTGTTAATGAGGCAAGCAGGGTCCATTGCTTTCATGAGGCTCCCTCCAAACCCTCTGTCTACCATCAGTCCAGAATAAGATGTACCATGATTTGTCTGATCACATTACTTTATTCCAGTCCTCAATCACAGCACTTTTGGCACCACTGTAGATGAACTTTCTGGTTCTTTGCAGAAATCAGTGGTTTTTGTACAGGCCTGCAACTGTTCATACCAATTCTTTTCAGTTCTCTGCACACAGTTCGGGTAGATATAGGTCAGGGACGGAATTCATTAAATTCTTCCGTCAATTGCTGCACAGAGGAAGTCCTTTTTTTCCAGACTAGCCTTTTCAGACGACGTCTGTTGCATTCCTTAGTCACAGTTACTTCTTATAGACATTGACTGTGGGTTATTTTTCCACTAATTGAACACTCTGGATATCTCACCTTTGGAAAAACCAGTCAGCTTTACAGTTCTTGATATCATGGCTCCAGCAAAATGGGCACCCACAATCAGCCTTGTTTGAAACTCTGTCAAGTCCTTTGCTTTTCCCATTTTCATAAACTTAATGACCATATTGATCAACAGCATTCTTGAACAGAAGCTTATGAATATGTGGTAACTCACATGACTCAAGTATTTTGTATATAAGATTATTTACATAAAATTATTACATTTACTTAATTAATATGCATGGGGTTTCTAATTCATTGGCCAGTGAGTGTACTTTGTTTTGTATAATAGCAGGTTCTGTCCACAATCGTTTAAAAATTACTAAATGATTATAACAGTCCAATGATTTATAAATGGAAAAGTACATGAAATATGATGTTATGCTGTAAAATATTAGTAATCATTATTGTAAAAAATGTGATGTAAAATGTTCCTGTTTACACAGTCTAAAAAACAGTACACAGTTCCTTTACAACATAACAACACAACTGAACTTTAATTTCTCAAACAAGCGAGCAACACTCAGGCATCTGACAATTATTTTATAATCACAACACTGGTTCCTGACCAGCCACACAGCTATACACTCTGGTTAGCACACTGGTCAGCACTGACTCGACACACCAAAGGGAAGTGCACAATTTCTCCCTCTCTAGGTGGGACAATCTCAGTCGCATTCTTAGGGATACAATTACATCAACCCACCCGACACATGTGACAATTCTGTGGACTGTACAGTACATCAATGCTCAATAACATACACACGCCTGACACGTGTTACAATTTTCTTTAATTGTATATCGAACTTAACAATCATACTAAAAGGAAAAGCACAGTCTGGACACAGTTTAAAAATGTTTCATCATCCATGGGTACTTGTGAACTATGGCAGTACTATTGTTACTAGACATTGCACATGCATGACTGGGTAAATTAAGCAGTTACATGTTTAAATTCTAAATTCTAACGATTATTAGAAAGCTTGAATATACTCATCTGTGATAAAATTTTTGGAACCCAGTTTTCCTTCCAGTAGCTGTTATCCATGAGGATCACCTAGGCCAGACATGGCCAACATATGGCCTGGCTAATGAATTTATGCGTCCTGTGATTAATCTTTTAATATTAACTACTCAAGTCCGAATAGCTAGATGACAAAAAAAAAGGTCAACTCCTCACTGTGCATTTAGAGTTAACCCTCCATTAAAAATCCCGTAAGTACAGCATAGAATGTTGATGAAGCATGATAATGTGAAAAATGTATCTGTAATCTCTATTTACAATTTAGTCTCTACAGGGTGACGCCACAATGAGATCTCGCACTACCTCAAAATCTTCCTAGAGCAGTTTCTGGTTCGGCCCGTGAAAAAAGTTCTCTTTCCAATTCGGCCCGGGGGCAAAAACTGTTGGCCATCCCTGACCTAGGCTCATCTTAGGCACACAATAAATTTTAATGTTACATATTTTTATGATACCATTGCATATATTGCATCCTACTGTCATACGCAACTTCCAGTCCTTTTATAAAGTGACAATTTTTTAAATTTGTCGTAAATTATATTTTTTTGTTTTCAAAAGTACCACAGGTAACCCCTTATAACATGGGAGTTACATTCCAAAAAATTGCCGTGTTATGCAAATCCATGTTATACGAAACAAAGAACTTAGTACGAAAAGGAGGGTTAGGTTCCAAAAATTAAAAAACATGCTATTATATTTTCATAATTAAGATAAATATCTTTATTAAAATTTTCTTAAGTGATACATATTAATATAAATTAAACAATGTTTTCTTTGTCATCACTAAAAGCACTATTAACCGAGAGCGTTTTATTTTTGGCAAGTTATC